AGAGGACAGTAATGAGACTTAGAGTTCAGTATGCTCATTCTGAAAGCTGAAGATAACCATACTACAAAATTAAATGCTGCATGTTATGAACAGTGGCCTAAAATGGAAGGACAATTTGCCACTGGAAATAACTATAAAGCAACTTATTATATCTTTTTAAAAACACAAATTGTGAAAAGGAAATCGGCAAAAATTTAATCAATAAAGTCACACCAGTATATTTGTATATAATTGTACCCATAGAAGTTTATGGGAGAAATTCAAGCTAGACTTATGATTACTGATGTTGCAATAGACTAAAAATATGCTCTGTAACTTTTATTTTCCTCATTGGTAGACAGACCACCACCAGCCATATGCAGCTTTTAAAACTTAGTAACTACGTAGAATCAAAACTTCCGTTTCTCTGTATCCCTAGCCACATCTGAAACGCTTTCAACAGCCACATGTGCAACCATATGGAACCGCGGAGGTAGCGAGTATCTCCACTATCACAGAAAGTCCTGTCGGACAGTGCTGATGTAGAGACCAAAATTCTAAGGAATTAGGCCCACTGCGCCAACATACATCCTTATGCAACTACTCGGATGAAAACCAAAGGGCATTTAACAGAAAGCTAAATATGTAACTCCTGCTACGGGGCGGGGTGGGGTGGGCGTCGGACCAGATATCCTTAGAGTAAAACATATTCTGTAACGGTCTCTGAAGACAGCTTTTCTGGGCACCGAAGTTTCCTTACACGCTTAGATAAAAAGCACTGTATCATAACCCCGTGCAATTATGCTTAGAAAACCAGACGAACAGTATTAATGTGGTTCGAAGCTAGAAAACACCCGTTAGAGAATCTAAAATTATTTAAGAATTGTTGGAAGGTGGCTTCAATCTATAAAATTCTGGATTCACTGCAACTCTTAGTATGTTGTTAACCACCAGTCTCTATCCTGAATGTCGTCGCCTATCTCAAACAGTATTTTACTTCCAAATCTGTTCATAGGCCCTCCTGATTGATACATTTAATCAAGTTTCAGAAAAGCTCACGCAGAGGAAAAATTCGCCAGGCCTACCTTTGCTGCAAGAGTAAGATTCATCTGTCCAGCTGGCCAAAATTCAGACTCCTGCTTTCTTGGGGAAGGAATGAGAGAGCTTTTTGTAGGCACGGAGTAGTTCTCTCTCCCCTTTCCAAAATTTGTTCTAACTGCCAATTTACCTCAAATAGTCTTCGTACTCATAATATCTGCAGGGCTTAACAGACTCACTACCTATCACTAATATTCTGAGCAGAGACAGGGATCAGTGACTTTGATTCTAACAGATGAATTTAAGGGAAGAGCAGAATGAACTCTGCTTCTCTCAACTGAAAATGGTTTCCAAAGAAAAATGAAGTCACCATCGACACAGTACAGACGAACCGACCTCTTCACAGCCTGGGACAAGCGTGGTTACTCTAGGACCCCTATTACCGTACAGCTTAGAGTTTATTATGATAGTTTTTTCAAAGGTTATCTTTTAACAAATATTTTTAAAGTCATGGTAGAGAACTGATTTATTTCAAGTCACCACTGGTAATCCAAACTGTTACACAATTCAGATCACACAGTGGGCACTTACTGCAGGAAGTCAACTTTAAAAAGGAAGAGAAAATTCAATTTTTTTACTTTTACAGGAGTAAGATGACCCCTTATTTTGCCATAAACAATATCATCACTCAGATAATTCCAGCACGATTCCTGGTACAGGTGCTCAATTAACGCTAAATGTTTCACTTAACTTTTTTTAATTCTATTAGGAAGTATTCGTGAAGAAACAATAGTAGCTGAAGTTATTTCACATCTACGTTAAAAATGCACCATTTGCTATTTTATACATTGCTATGGACTGACTTTCTGTCCCCTCGCCAATTCACATGTAGAAGTCCTATTCCCCAAGAAGACAGTATCGGAGGTGGAGCCCTTTAGGAGGTAATTAGGTCATGAGGGTGGAGCCTTCACAAACGGGATTAGTGCCCGTAGAAGAGAGACACTGAGAAAGATGACCCCTCTCTGCCCCAGGTAAAGACAGCAAGAAGTCAGCTATCTACAAACCAGGAAGAGGGTGCTTATCAGACATCAAATCTGCTAGCACCTCGGACTCCCCAGCCTCCAGAACCATGAGAAATAAATGTTTGCTGTTTTAGCCACACAGTCTAAGGTACCTGGATTGCAGCCTGGACCAAGACACACACACACACACGCACACACTTCCTTAAGAAACTACAAATGTTAAAAAATATATCTACTGATATTTCAAACGTTTGTTTTAAAGTGAAGTTCGTGTGGCACGAATATATCAATCTACTAAGCACAGTAAGGGTACTCTGTGGTCATTAAACAGACTGAAAAAAATAAAACGTCTATCCCATTTCACTTACAACTCTTTCAACACATATATTAATAAAAATCTATAATAAAATAACAAAAAAGTAAACACACAGGGAGGAAAAAAGTTATCCAAAAGACACAAAACTATCAACTTACTTATTGGACCTCCTCCTCTCTCTTCTAAAGAAGATTTTCATGCTCTATAAAGAGTCCTCTACAGCCATTTTTTAGGCTTTACCATTCCTTTAACTCCTTAACAACACACTGCACGCCTTCAGTTTATCCATGTTTCTGTGCACACTTCCACCTTACAACTTCTCTGCTGTTACATGTTGAACTAGGACACCTTGAGGCATTTATAAACTGTAATTAGATGGCTTTATAGTTACAATACTGTATGCACATTTCCTGAAGACCATCTTGGGTGGCAGGATTAGTTTGGTTGGTGGCCACTGAATATTAAGTATGTTCATATGTGCAACAGCACATTGCTTAAAAAGCCCTAAGAGGTTTTCCAAAATTTACTTGATTTACATACAAGTCCAGGTAACCTGAAAATAAATTCAGTCCTCTAAGTTAAAGTGCAAAGACTACTGTGGTGGTTCTAAGTTACTGTCAGTCTACAACAGGTATTATCTTTGTGACATTTTGATGCCTAAAAACAAGAAACAAGCAACACTCAACTATGCTAATACTAAGAACCTTCACCCCAGCCACCTGGATACCCAGCTAAGGGAGTAAGATCACACCTAGTTACTAGTTACCTGGTTACTATTTTCCACAGTTCTTTTTAAACAAATAAAAATAAATCATTTCTATTACTCTGTTACCCTAAATAGTTACCAAAAGTGCAATCCAAATATTGTTATGTTTACATCACTCGAGGAGGGGCAGATACAGCAGTGCTGGTCTTTCTCTTTTCCCTCGTTAAAGAACTCGAGACAGTATCGAAAGATAAGACAGATGCAGAATTATTTACCTGACTGATGTCAGAAGAATTTACATGTTGTAGGTAAAATACTGTAGGGTAGTGATGACAGAGCCAGACTATTTCAAATATTCATCTAAAGAGACACATTTAATTTCTAAAATAATATGCTCATCCTTAGATTCATATGTGGTGGTATTTTGCTTAAATATTTGATAGCCAATATGCAGAAATACTAATACATATAAAAATCCATCTTTATGATTAAAAATTATCTCATGTAATTTACGTATGCTTTAAAAGCCTCCTAACATAAGTGATACGGTTTTTTTTTTTTCCTACTGGGGCAACTCAATTTTATTTTGGAATAAACTAATTCCTAAAAGAAGAAAATCTAACAATATTCTCTTATTTTCAGTTTGAAAAATCTTGCTCAATTTTTCTAAATTAAACCAAGGGCTACACAATGAGTATATGTTTCAAAAATAACTTTTTTACTAAGCATTATTTACCCATTTCTATCACCTGACTGTCCTATTCAGAAGAATTTTTGCAAAGCTTCATTATGATTCAGAAACAGATTAATAGCAAAAAAATTAAGTAAAATCTTTAATTCTGAGAAGAAAAAAGTTTTTAGGTCCTGCAAGTATTTTTCTTCAAAATGATCTTCGTGTTAGGTTATACTGAAATAGTTATGTGTGTTAAGGTACACTGAGATGTTTAGCACGCTTGTGTTACTAATGAGGTATATCTGATTACATTTACTTATTACACTGACAAAACCAGTTCTCTAATTTAAGAAGACACTAAATTTCAAAAGTTTGGATAAATACAAAAATGTATTTTGAGCTTTGCTGGTTGAACTACTTGATACCTTAGATGTTTACCTTCCTTTAGGATAACAAATACCAGGCCATGGACTAACTTAATTTTAGTTACATAACACGTGTAACACTCAAATGGGTTTGCAGGCTCTTCTCTAGCAGTTTGGAGGGGAGGGTTACCCTTCGATACGTAACAGATGCAAACATGTGCAAATGGGTAGGGGGAGGGGAATTATTTTTATCATGGAAAGACGGAGAAAAGGATGGATCCTTTTAAAAAAGAACAGATCACTTTTATTAAGTAACTCCCTGACAAGCTCTGGATCTTACACCAAGTTTCACAGAAATTCTGTAATGATACTAACAGTCTTGCTTTCTTTTTTCTTTTTGTTTAACAGCTAGATACTAACAGTCACCCAACTAGAAGACGTCAAATATGCTTCCCAAGAAATGATGCGTCATTGCATAAGTTAAACTCGAGAATTTCCACCTCGGTCAGTCAGTCCATAAAAGAGTTTTAGCTAACTCAAATATTTAGGTGGGAAAAAAAAGGAGGGAGAGAGAGAGAAACTAGAAGATGTCAAATATGCTTCCTAAGAAATGATGCCTCATTGCATAAGTTAAACATGAGACCTTCCACCTTGGTAAATCTTATATGAAAATAACCTAACACTTAAAATAAGTCTGTCATTATTATATACATATTAATTAGCATATAAAAGTAGAGATTTGATGTTTCCTAAATCATATTTGCCAGAGTATCTAAAAACAAAATCACCATAAATCAGAAATACTATAAAGTTTTTGCTACATAGGTTTTCTCAAAAGCTCACCAAAACAAGTAACAACCTTTCTCCTCCAAAACTCTACATATATAGGTCTGAAGTTGGAAGGCTGAAAAATATTAACTTCAAGGAGTTCATTTTAATTATGAATTGGTATTGCACTGCCATAAACATCGGTGATAGTGAAATAAAACACCAGTATCCATGGCCAATATGTAAACCAAAACGAACCTGAAAAAATGTATATCTCAAGTAGAAACACTTCTTTTTACAAATGTTCTGAGGAACAATGCTTAAAATTATACAAGGTTTGAAATATATGCTTAACAAAGTTTACAAGAAAAAGGAAAACACCAAAGTTGGCAATAGTGAAAGTCTTTCGGCTTTCCTACAAATGGTATCTTTGTAATCCCCCAACTTTTGGAGCATGAAGTGTTTTTCTAAGAAAAATAAAATGACTGCAAACTGTGCTTCTTATACAGCTTTATGTGTCAGAATCACTTTCAGATCCTGGCCTGCTGTCATCTGGTCCATCGCTTTCTTTGTCCCAGTCTTTCATGGACGCTCCCATCATGAAATCGTCACGTAGGATAGTCCATCCTGGGCTCTCTTCTGATTTTGCTTCAGTCTGAGGAAAATCACACAATCAAGATAGTCGAAAGTCAATTTAATCATAAGGAAATGAAAAAAAATCCAAGCTACAAAATAAACTTGTCAATACTTAGTTTTACAACAGGAGTGAAACCAAGACAAATTATAGATTAACTTGTAGTGTGGTAACAAAATATTTTAACCTCATACAAGAAGCAAAATTAAAAATTTATTTTTTGCAGTAGGGGGAAAATATAGTAAAATCTAGATTTGGTATCAGTTTTTAAAATCTTCTGACAATCAAAACAGACTTACAAAATATTGCTTAACATTCAGTGATAACTTATTAGAAAATGTTTGGCAAAATATTTTAACACCAATAGAAATTTAACAAAGGCTTTTAACCCAAAATAAATTAAAGGAGAGAAAAATGAAACTCACCTGACACTCTGCTAGGTTTTTATAGATGCTCTCATTTAACATTTGATAAAAATTTGAACCAAATGTTCTTTGTTTAGGTTATGACCTCATTGCCTGCCCAAATCATGTAATCAAAAGACTAATCACATGCTAAAGCTATAAATAACTGAAACAAGCAATAAACATAAAAGTAGTCAACTCATTTTGTTTATTCATAGGGTTTATATAAATCTATGTATGAGAGTCTAAGAATTACACACTGCTTATTTCATGGTACAACAGTACCACCTTGTGGTATTAATAAGGTAATGCAGGATGCTGAATTTTTTATTCCCCCTTCATTCCATATATATTTACTGTGAGCTGCAAATCAAATACTGTTCTCAGTGTTGGAAATAAGCTGATGAGCAAAACAAAGCCCCTGTCTTCATGGACGTAACAGTCTGTGCTCTTCTTATTCCATTCACAGAAATGTGGGAAAAATCTCTCTAAATATGTAAGAACCTATGACATTTGGTTAGAAAATACTATCTTACGCGAGCCATTAATCATTAAAAGCAATTACTAAGAGAAAAGATATTAAAGACATTTGCTGGGTTAAAAGACTGTCTAATTCTGCTGAAGCTACCTTTTATTAAAAAAAAGTATATATATATATATATAATATATATATATATATGGCCCTGAAACAGTCATACCATTAAAAAAACTAAACAAAACAAAAGGACACTATTACGAACAAGAAAAAATGTCTCATTGGCTGCAGTACTCCTGTCTTCCTGGGATCAAAGAAGCAAGCAGGGCTCGTTCCTAAACAGAACATGAAGACCGGACAGCACATAAATGTGAGCAAAGAGTTCAGCACTGACTTAGTAAATCAAATAGTACACTTTGTACTATAATTTAACCAACATAAAGAAACAAAAAACATCTGTGCTAGTTAAAAACCAACGGTTCCAGGGCTTTTCATGCCACACTGATAGAAACTGCCTTTCTCCTTCACTGCTCCCGAAGGCTGCTGGTGGAGCACGCGAACACCTCTCCACCCCATTTCTGCAGTATCAAGCCTACATTCCCACAACGATTTCTGCTTCTATTAGATTAGGTTACCTAACCGGATAAAAGGTCATTTGCCCTAATTCCACCCACGTTTTCTTTGCCAATCTCCTCACCCTACTTAAGAGAGCTGTTCCCAATGAACAGAGATCCACTTACAACCAGTAACACCTCTCTGGCCTGCCAAATTAACTATTCAAAGGTTTCAATTCAGTTCTAACAAGTGTATGCTTCCTGATGGAGGCAGACACAAATTACTGTCTAGTAAAGACTCAGCCTGATGGTGGTGTTTGTGTTTACACGCGAGCGTGCACAACCTCACTGAGAAGCCTCCGTGTTTAAGTAACTACACCGACATGCTCTCAACATGTTCCCCAGCGACAGCCGGCAGACCTGCCTCCACGTGAGCTCGCCCAGAGAGCCGACTTCTGCTGCACCGCAACACTGCAGGCACCACAGAAAAGGAGGGAAGGAAGGGGGGAGGACGAGGACAAAACTTCCATAGGCAGTTCAGAAAGAAAGGGCAACAGTGGACCATAGGAAGGGATTCAGTAATTAAAGTGTTAGACCTCTGCCTCCCACACTTGCCTTGAAAGATAATTAAGTAAAGGGACAGCTGAGGCAGAGAGTGACAGCAGGATAAATTCCAAGCCTCGCTCAACTGTCCAGTTTTAAGGTAACAATGAAGTAAAGCTTTATTGGGGGGTTTGGATGGTGGTGTTTTTGGTTTTCAAGTAATCAACACAGCCTATATCAGGGAGGTCCCAAAGTGAGGCCCCCAGACCAGCGTCAGAATCACTTGTTAGGAATTCAAAATCTCAGGCCCTGCTCCGGACCAACTGAATCAGAAACTCGGGTTTAATCTGTTTTTATTAAGACAATCAGTGCTCCTGATGCTTGCTAAAGCCTGAGAATCACCAAATAAAAGGACAAATACTTCTTAGTGACCGTTTTTGTTCACTGCTGTAAGATCAAGTACACTTTGTGGCTGAGAGAGAAAAGATTTCAGATTTTGGAATCCAATCTCACACAGCCTTGGATGTCTTACAGACTGCCATCATTCAAGCTACGTTATGGTCGCATTTCTACATGACGGAGCAACAAGATGGAGAAGAGACAACAGAAAATTTAGTATTAAGACGTATGGACTGATCGGTTTTAAAAACAGATATTTTTCTATAGTATCTCGCAAGATGGCAGCTCAAGAAAGAAAACTGTTTTAAAGGCAACAGAATGACCCTTTAACTGTAGTGCCTCCACGTGGCGAAGGAACAGACAGCAGGGAAAAAGGCAGTCTGCATTAAGGTGACTGTTCGAACGTAAACAACCCGTCCTGCTCAACTGCAAACTTGTGCACAACAAAACGGACCTGTTGTTTTAAAAGATACAATTCACAAGGACAAGATCCAAGGAGGAAAACAGCAATACAAGTTTAGGCGGTGGAAGCAGATGGACTAGAGCAAACTGCTTTGGCAAACCCAAGGGAGCTGAATCCTGCAACTGCAACTGTCAGGCCGACAACTAACCCACTTTACACTGCAGAACCTTCGGGGAGGAAGAAACGAAAAACAAAAACCCTAGGAACTGGCAGTTCTGGGTACTTCTGAAGGCGAGGGTAGGAATGGAAGGACCAAACTAAAGAGCACTAGGTAAAAGTTATGTTGAGAACAGACTTCAAGATTCCAACCTCACCGACCCCTAAACACACACACACACACACACACACACACACACTCTCTCTCTCTCACTCTCTGTCTCCCCTCATCCCCAGTAACGAGTCCCAGCCCTCTCCTCACATTGGGTTCCCAAAATGCTGGTAGGCAGATTTTCTCCAGGCAGGAGATCAGGAATACGCTATAGAAAATCTAACCAGTGGTTAATCAATAACTCACCGAGAGAAGGCTACATTTAAGCTCGCATGTCATGTGGACAACTTCCACAAGCTTCCAATCACCTGTTTAGGATTAATTGTTCTAATCATGAACAGACAACTAAAGTTCATCAAAAGGAAGACTGAGAATAACATAAACACAAAATTTTTTAAAGCAACGTGTAGGAAAAAGAAACTATTCAAATAAAGAAAACTGAGGCTAAAATACCATTAATATCCCTGAAGAGTTAGCGGAGATTACATCACACTCACAAAATGAGAACAGTTGCTATTTTCAAAAAGAGACTAACAGAATAACAAAGAGCTTGTAATTAAAACCATGATAGCAGAAACAAAAAAAGGGTGAGGAGATAAAGCTGAGGAAATCATGCAAAAAAAAAAAAAAGAGTAAAAAGAAAAAAGTGATGGGAAACAGAAGAAAAAGTAAGATAGCTGGAGGACCAGTCAGGAGGTTTAATATACAAATAACAGGTCTACAGACAGCTGTGCAAAAATGAAGGAGAAAAATTCATGAAATACCTCAAGAAAATTTCCCAAAAGTTAAGGACACACACTTCTAGGATGAAAAGAGCCCTCTTGAATGTCTAAAACACCAAAGAAAAACAGAGCCACATCAAAGACATCATGTAAAATTTCAGAATAGGTCTAAAAGATCCAATAAGCTTCCAGAAAGAAAACAACACATCACATACATACAGAAGATCAGGAATTAGAATAGATTCAGATTCTCCTACAGCAACACTGGAAGCAAAAAAGCAATAGATGCAAGCTTTCAAAAATTTAAAGGAAAAGAATTTCCAATTTAACATTTAATACCCAGACACACTGTTATTCAAGTGTAAGGACAAGTAGAGTATCCAAAACTTTACTTTCAATTAAACTGAGAATGTCCTCCACAAAAAGATGGAGTAAACCAAAAGATACAGGAAGGAAAAAAAAAGGAAATCCAACACAGGAAAGAGGGCGTGTTCAGGATGAGAGGGAATGGAGACTCTGGCACGGGGACGACAGGTCAGACAGGGAGGGAAGCCTGGAGCAGTGATTTCAGGGAAGGATGCTGAGCGCTGTCGTCAGCACCAGGCCATCTGCCACAGTCCCATCATTTCAACTTGACAAAACCCTCCAAGGGTATGTTTTACCTAATCAGTGGGAGTACATCAAGAAAGGAGATATAAGATCTAGGAAATAGGGAATCCAATCCAGGAACATCCCAAGGATCACAGGAAATTTAAGTCCCAGGGTGACAACTGTGAAGCGGCCCAAGAGAGCAATCAGCCCGGAAAAAGGAAAACGCAGGATTCTAGGAGAGGGTGTCTCAAAGCAAGCTATTACAATAGATATATTACCTGAGGTAATCTGATTTGGAAAAACTAAACAAACTAAGAAAGTTAAATATAAAATCAAGGCAATTACTAATTTCAGGAAAAACAGGAAGGAAACCTAAGTAAAAAATATTATAGCTTTCAGCTGTAAATAATACTTACAAAGGCATAACAATAAATGTTGAATACTGAATTAACAAAAAGTAACTATGTGGAGAGGAAAGAGACTGTGTAAGAGAATGAAATCTTCGCCTACAATAATAGAAAGCTAACAGATAGCACTGCACATTGACGAATCAGAAGACATCATTGTGACAGCTGGAAATACAGCGACATACAAACGCCGGC